TTGTAGATTGTAAAGAATGGTGCTTTCAGTGTTCATGCGGAGGTATTTATGTGGGTGTGTGTTCATTTCACTTGGTTGTATTCCTGAAAGTAGAATTTCTGGATCCCTTGGTAACTTTCTATTTAGTCAGCTGAGGAAATCCTGATGTTTCCAAAGCAGCCCTACCATTTTACATCTCCGCCTAGATGACAGTTTCTCCTCATGTTTGTCCACATTTGTTGCTATCTTTTTGATTCTAGCAATCTTAGAATGAAATGCTGGGTATCTTCATGGGCTTGACTTCGTTTCCCTGTTGGCATCTTCTCAGACACTTACTGGCCCTTTATACATATTTCTTGGAGAAATATCTGTTCAGATTCTTTCCCGATTTTTCTAGTTAGACTGTCTTGTTATCCTTGAATTATAAGCATTCTTTATATGTTGTAGATGCAAATCCTTTGTCGGGTTGCAAATATTTTTTCCTATTTTATGAGTTCCTTTTTTTTCCCCCGATGGTATTGTTTGAAACACAAAAATTCTTACTTTTCACAAAGTTCAATTAATCTTCTTTTCATATTTCATACTTTTGATACCATATCTATATAAAAAGTCTTTGCCTAGTCCTTGATCATTAAGATATGGCACTGTGTTTTTCAAGTTTAATAACTTTAGCTTTTACCTTAATTTCTTTGATTGATTTTGAGTTAACTTTTCCATGGTGTGTGACATAAAGGAGCAGCTTTATTCTTTTGCATTTGGTTATTTATTACAATTTTGAAAAGACTGTTCTTTTCCTATTGGGTGATCTTGGCACTCTTAAAAAGTCACCTGGAGAATAAATGTATGTTTACAGTTTTGTTTTGTTTTTTTTACCTCTCTTACTGTTTAGATTGCTCTTTTGCAGATAATTCTGTCACAGAACAAGATCATTTTTAAGTAGTCATTTAGGGGATGTTTGTGTAACATCTTGCAACACAGACTTTATCTAGGAAGGTACATGTTTTCATATATGACACAGCTGTTCTGGTCAGGAATGTTAAGTTCGTAAAGCCGTGTTTTGGTAGTGATGATGACATTTTAGCTTCCATTCCATTGGTGTTCCCTGAGTGCTTACCAAAATGTGTGACAGTCCTTTCCTCAGGCTGCCACTTATGTATGACCTGTTGGGAGCAGAGAAAGGGAGTCAATCACATGACATGAACATTCCCTTCTGGAATCTTTTTTAGTTCATAAAGGTAGAATATTCTAAAAGTGCATAGATTGTATAGCTAATTTTTGCCTAAGTATTGTTTTAGTGCTTACTTTTTTTTTGAAAGATTTATTTATTTTTATTGGAAAGTCAAACTTATAGAAAAGAGAGAGCGAAAGGTCTTCCATCCACTAATTCATTCCCTGAGTGGGTGCAGTGGCCAGAACTGTGCCAATCTGAAGGCAGGAGCCAGGAGCTTCTTCCAGGTCTCCTACACAGGTCCAGTGTCCCAAGCCATTAGGCTGTTCTTCACTGCTTTCCCAGGTCACAAAGCAGGGAGCTGGAAGGGAAGTGGAATAGCTGAGTACGAACCAGTGCCGATATGGGATCCCGGCGCATGGAAGGCAAGGGCTTTAGCCACTAGGTTATTGCACCTGGCTCTATTTTTTTTTCTTTTTAAAGTAAGCATTTTCTTTTTAAAACTTATTTTTATTTTATATTTAATATTGTTTACATAGCTGAGATGGCTGCCAATTTGGGTTTTTGATTAGGTTGGGGAGAATCATGTGTGGAGGAGGGTGGGAAGGAAGGACACATGTTTTAATTTTTTTCTCCTGTGTCCATAGTTGCAGGGGTTAGGAGAGAGGGCCACTTCTATTTGTGCAACTACTTTAGAACCTGGGGACTGAGGACAGTCCTTTGATGCGCCTGAGAGACTCTGATGTGGGGCAGAGTGCTCTGAGAGTGTTACTTGAGTTGTTTTGATAGTTTTGACTCGTCAGCTTCCTTGCACCAGGGTTGAGAAAATCTTTCCAAGGTTTATTGGCTAACCAGGTTCACCTTAGTGCATCCATAGACTCAGGAACATGTAAAGCTTGGCCAGGACAGTGGTCCAACCTGTTCTGCTTTCCAACTTCTGGTAAGGCACTTGACATCTCTTGCTAGCCTAGATGAGTTGACTGTCATGTCCACTATGGGCATCTGGGCTTGCTGACCATTGCACAGGCATCAACAACTGAGGCCCATTCTGAATATGTGCACTCTAAAGTTGTATCACACGTATTGTGCTTTTCCCTGTGGCTGGGCTTTGAGTCCAACCATCCAGTTGTGGAGTGCCCCAAGAAACCTTGCTGGGGTGACATTAGGCTTGACTCTTGTGCATGCCAGTCAGTGCAGCAGGTTTGGTCTGTCACCTAGCCCAGCCAATGCACATACCCAGTGGTTGCAGCTGCTTGATCAGTTTTGGCCCTAGCTCCATCTTTTTCTGATGGGTGCTCAGCCTAGCCCAACCCAGCCTGTTCCAGGCCAGCTCTTCATGCACACCAGCAGATGGTACAGTTTAGTTGGGGCAACCCCTGTTAGCCCACCAGACCCAATGCCAGCACCAGTTTTTACAAGTGCTAGCACATGTTGTAGCCTAGCCTAGCCTTGTCACCCTGGCTCTAGTGCCACCCTTGGGTGCTGCAGCTTTACTTAGCCTTTCCATTCCAGACCCAGCTTACACATAACCCAACGAATGCTGCTATCTTGACCAGCCTGGCCCACCCCCTACACTGACTGTCATGATCACCCGTGAGAGCTGCAAGTGCCCACAGTTTCTATACCAGGCCCATTCCCAGTCCTGGGTCTTGTGCTTGCCAGTGGGTGCTGTGGCCCAGTCTGAGATGGCCCATCCCCAGCATTTGCCAGCTGGTGCTACATTCTGTTTCAGCACGGCCCACCCACAGTCACAACTCTTGTCAGTGAGTACAGCGACCTAACCCAGCCTGGACTACTTCCTTTTTTTTTTTCTTTTTTTTAAGATCTATTTGTTTTTATTACAAAGGCAGATATACAGAGAGGAGGAGAGATAGATAGGAAGATCTTCCATCGATGATTCATTCCCCAAGTGACTGCAATGGCCGGTGCTGTGCTGATCCAAAGCCAGGAGCCAGGAACGTTCTCCAGGTCTCCCACGTGGGTGCAGGGTCCCAAGGCTTTGGCCCGTCCTCGACTGCTTTCCCAGGTCACAAGCAGGGATCTGAATGGGAAGTGAAGCAGCCGGGATACAAACTGCAGCCCATATGGGATCCCAGGGCGTTCAAGGCGAGGACTTTAGCCGCTAGGCCACGGCGCCGGGCCCTACTTCCAATCTTCATGTGAACTGGCAGGTGTTGTGTGATCCAATCCAGAATGGCCCAGCCCAGCACACCTCCAGACCTGGCTCGCATATGCCAACTCATACTGCGGTCTACCCTTTCCTGGCCTGTCCCCAGCACTGGCTCTCAGGCTCATCAGAAGGAGCTGCAACCTAGCAGGCGAGTGTCCCAAGTTCCCCTACCAGGCCTGCTCCCAGCCCCAACTCTTTCATGTGCCAGTGGTGCTGCAGCTCAACCCAGTTCAAGCATCACTGGCAGTACATGCTGTGACCTAACCTGTCAAGGCCAGGTCGGCTCTTACCAGTGTGTGCTGTGGCCTAGCCCAGCCCCTCCACACCCATTTTGGCTTCAGCTCTGGCTGGTGGGTGTTGCAGCCTAGATCAGCTGGGTATAGCCTACACCCTGTCTTGGCACTCTTGCATACCAGCTGGTACTACAGCCCAGCCAACTTGGCCTTCCCACCCCCAGCTGCAGCTTTGTGCTCCCCAGTGAGAGCTGCATCCTAGAAGGGATTCCCGAGTTGTCCTGCCTTGCCTACTCCCAGCTCCAGGTCTCATGCAGGTGTCATGGCTCTACTTGGCATGTTCTGCCCGCAGTTGTGATCTTTGCATGTGTTGGCATGTGCTGCAGTCTGACCCAGCTTGGCCCCTCCTAGCCCTGGCTCCCACAGATTTCAGGTAAATTCTTAGTGCAGTCTGGTTCAGCCTGTCACCACCACCACCCCACCCCAGTTTTCGGTATAAACCAACAGGGGTTGCAGTTCCATAGAGGTGAACCCACAAGCCCTCTACAGAATCTTTCCCCAGATCTAATTCTTTTGCATTCTGTTGGGTGCTGCAGCCCATCCTGACACAGCCCATCATCTGCTCTGACATCTGTGAGCGGGTACTGCACTTAGCCTAGCCTGTCATGTCCCTCAGCCCATTTTGTTTGCAGCAGTAGGTAGCAGGTGATTCTATCTAACCCAGCCTAGGTCACCCATGTGGGTGGGTGCTTTGGCCTAGTGGAGACGTAACTTCTAGTTCCCTCTTTGGCAGCCGCCTCACTTACCTGTGAGTGCAGCGGCCAGTCCATGGAAGGCTGCAGAAGTCATTCTTCCCCTTTCAGACATGCCCTCAGGTGTCCTACTCCAATATGTCCCCAAACTCCCTTCCCTGGACAATTTGCAGCTCCTCCATCTGGGGGCCAAGGTAGTGTGTCTCATCCCAGCAGTCTCTGCCATCCCCACATATCTTTGAAAAAAAATAATGGAATAGACAACTCTGCTGGCTCACTGGTTTAGTTAACACAGATTTGGCATTAACTAGACCCAGAGTGCCTGCCAGCTGTTGGCTGCTTTTCTCTCAGCAGATTAGCGCCTGTCTCTGTACAGGTAAGCTAGGCAGTTGCGTGCGTCTGGGGTAGCGTTTTCTAAATAACAAAACTCTCAAGTTGGAATTGTTTTCTCTTCAGGGCTCTAAATTAAGATGAGAGCCATGAAGGCTGCAGACAGGAAGGAGATGATGAGATGATTGGCTAACCTCGTGCTCTTGCTGCGTCCTGGAAAGCCCATGACCACAGATTGTTGGAGATGACGAGGCAGCATCATAACATTCTTTCTTTCCCTTTTCTTTTATGTAATTTGAAACATTTTCCACTAAGGAGCTTTTCCCTCTCCATATCATTTTGTATAATTTTATGTCCCTTTTTCTTAGGAGTCACAGCAGTCCAATTTTGGCCCTGGAGATCAAAGTAAGTATGTTTTTACTCTGTTCTTGGTTTTCAAGTAATACATTTATTGAGTATTTGATTCTCTTGGTCTCACCATATACTACTTTGATAAGTAGTAATGGGTTTAACTGAATAATGGGTTAACTGAATCTTGGTATGCTGGACTGTTCATCATTAGAAATCAAAATAAGCTTTATTACTTGGAATAGCCCAAAAGTTCATAGATTCAATTTTATGGGTACCTCATAACTCAAAAGTCATTCTGACTTTCCTTTAGGAAGAGGCTTGGTTTTGTGATGGTAAAACCTTACCCAGGAAAGAGTCAGTATAGCTGACTGTGGCTGTTTTCTTCCCAAGTCTCTATGTTGCCAACTTAGGCTTCCCAGGTCTCCTACTCTGGGTGAGAAGTCTGGTCTACTGTGTGCTACATTCTCCTCTTCTCTCCTGGCCTCTCAGAAAATCTTGACTGGAAGAGAACTGTAGGGAGCTCCAATGTCACCCTAAGGGATACTGGTTGTGTAGATGAGTAGTGGTAAGATTCAAGAGCGTTGGAACTTTTTAATCACTTGCTAATTACTTTTAGTGATCTTAAAGAGATGAAACCACAGTAATTTTTTATTTTAAGATTTATTTATTTTTATTTGAATGACAGACTTCTACAGAGAGAAAAGAGACGAGAGAGATAAGGTCCTCCATTCACTGGTTCTCGCCCCAAGCCGCCGCACTGCCCGGAGCTGAGCCGATCCGATCCAAAGCCAGAGGCAGGAGCTTCCTCCACATCTCCCACGTGGCTGCAGTGGCTCAAGGGCTTGAACCATGCTATGTCACTTTCCCAGGCCATCAGCAGGAAGCCAGATCAAAAGTGAAGCAGCTGGGCACAAACTGGCATCCGTATGGGATACTGGTGCCACAGGATAGAGAATTAGTCTGCTGTGCCACCGTGCCAGCCCTTAAGATGTCTTTTAATTCTAAATTTTCTTTGTGGAGGTACTTCAAGAAGTTCTTGGAGTATGTGCATAATGCAAAAAGTGCATGACATTTTTGGTATGCAGAAAATAGCTAGCTAAAGGCCAGGAAATTTAAATTTTTCGTTTTTAAAGAACATCTTATCCTTACTGCTTCCTCATTCTCTTTCCCCATAGCTAACATGGCAAGTGGGATCATAGCTGTATGTGCTGTTTAAACCCTATCTTTTTTTTTTTTTTTTGGCTTGTTATTTTAGAACTGTTTCAGTATAAAGCTCCAGTTGATGCTTTTTAATATTCAAATTGTGCCATGTCACATGAAAGTATCATAATTTAGTCACTTACTGATGGATATTTAATTTGTTTCTGGTTTCTACTATTAAGAACTATGGATAGTCATATGTGTGTGTTTTTCTCCAGATTTATGTATAAGGTAAGTTTCTGTAATTGGAACTGTACAAAGTATCGATAAAGTAATGTTGCCCGACTTCGGAGCAGAAGGGTGATGCAAGTCTGCAGTCCTGCCAGAAGCTTGTAGACTTGCCTGTTTCCTGAGTATTTACCATTGTCATTACTGAGCTTGAATGTGTTGCTCTTTAATGATTGAAGAGTTAAATTTTGTTGTTTTGGCTTAATTTCTTTCAGGGTAGATATTTTATAATGTGAATAGTCAATCGTTGCTTACTTATGCATTCTTTTTATTCTAGAAAGATATAACCCTTCTTCAAAATCTTCAAATGGGCACCAGCCTAAATCGTAAGTTTATTGCTTATTAGTTTAATGTTTATCACTTTTTTGCGAAAGCTAATCTATGAAATGTGAACATTTTGGACAGTAGTTAGAAATATTTGCTTAATATTTTAAGACAAGAGTAGGCAAACTGTCACATAAAGGCCCTGATAGTGGCATGTTTTAGATGTCCCAGGCCATTCTCTTTGTCCTGTCTACTTCATTGTAGCCACTTTGGTATGAGAGCAGCCAGAGACCAGGGCTGTGCTCCAATAAAACTATCTGCCCTACAGTGTGTGTGTGGGGGGGGGCAGCGGGGGAGGCTGGATTTGGCTTTCGGGCTATAGTTTGCCTGCCTCTGCCTCGAGATACATTTTTTCCTTCATCTGTGTGTGTGTTCATAGCTCATATTTAATAAATAATAAGATTAAATGCAAGAATTAACATAGTACTGTCTTCTGAAGATTTTTCAATTTTTTGTAGCTAGAAGCAGATAGGTGTATCAAAATATGGTAAGGTGAATAACTTTAGGGTCATACATTTCACGTTAAAGAGTGAACTGAATTCTTGGGCCCTGGTGTGGTAACCTAGCGGCTAAAATCCTCGCTTTGCATGCACTGGGATCCCATATTGGTGCTGGTTCATATCCTGGCAGCTCCACTTCCCATTCAGCTCCCTGCTTGTGGCCTGGGAAAGCAGTCAAGGACAGCCCAAAGCCTTGGGACCCTGCATCTGTGTGGGAGACATGGAGGAGATTCCTGGCTCCTGGTTTCAGCTCTGCTCAGCTTCGACCGTTGCAGCCACTTGGGACGGAAGATCTTCCTGTCTTTCATCCTCTCTGTATATCTGACTTTCCAATAAAAAAAGAATTAAAAATTCTTTTTTAAAAAAAGTGAACTGAATTCCTGAGCCAATAAAATATTCTATATTATTCAGAATTCTAAAATAAAATTCTGATTAAATTGTGGCCATAGTACTAGCTCCCTATGCCATAGCCACAAACTGCTGGTGACCTTCCCAGGACCCCTGCAGTCAGCACAGAGAGGACCAAGTGGAAGTGAAAATATGTAAGTATAGGCTCTCTACTTCCACTTCTGAAGAATTGAAATTATATTTTTTTGATGCACACACACGCACAAAAGCGTTCAGTATTACTGTAAATGTGCACATCATTTTGGTTGTTGAAGAAACCACAGCATGACCAGTCTGGTAAACTTTGGACATGTTCACATGGTAAGCAGGTTCACTGAGTTGGATTAAATGAGAGGATTGACAGAATTCAAAATAAGTACATTTCCCTGCGTAGAGATGAACTAAGCCCATATACTAAAGAAAATTTGTCCACATCACATATTGGATCAGTTTTAAAATGCTTCATAATTCTGTAATTACTTACTTCATTTAAGGTAATCTTTTATATAATACTTTGAGCATTTTCTTCATTGGAAAGGCGGATATACTCTTCCGTCCGATGATTCACTCCCCAAGTGAGCCGCAACGGGCCGATACTATGCCGATCCGAAGCCAGGAGCCTCTTCCGGGTCTCCCAAGTGTCCCAAAGCTTTGGGCCGTCCTCAACTGAGGCCACATGGAAGAAGTGGGGCTGCCGGGATTAGAACCGGCGCCCATATGGGAAGGCTTAACCACTACTTTGAGCATTTTCTTCACACTGATGGGAGATGGCCATGAAATTTTAAGAAGAAAGACAATGGGACTACTACTGAGAAATTAAACGTGTGCTACTTGGTGTTCTCCTTAGGTTGCATTTTAATTTTTCCTCTCCTGTAATAAATACTCTTGGATTGTTAGTGGTATTGCAAGTTTGTTTTTTGTTTTTGTTTTTGATTTTGTGACCTTAAGGGAAATGGAAAATTTAAATTTTTAATTTTACTTTGAAAGATGATTTTTAGAAACTGTTAGCATATAGTATTAGTTCTCTGATTTTTTTTTTAAATTAATTTGAATTTTGAGGAAAATTTGGAGCCTGAATTTTAAAGGCTCGTACGTGGTCATTTCTTTCATATACCCAAGGATGTCATCCCAAATATTTGCTTCTACCTAGGGCTCTTTCCTGTCACAGTGGAATGTTTGTGAGCCGCAGCTTTGGCTTAGGGTATTGTGTTCTTTTTTTATTGTGTTCTTCTGGTTGCACAAACCTCTTTTCATGGAACACTGAAGACAAAAAAAGAATTGCTTGATGCATTCATTTTATCTTCCTTCTTTTTAGGAGTTATGTCTTCCTAGTGGATGGTTTGGTATGGCTGTGTTAGTTTGTTTTAATGGTGATATAATGTGTGTGGGTGTGCACTTAGAGAAAGTTAGAGATAACAAATGAGTATGAGAGTCTTCAGAAAGTACATCTTATTTTGTTAGAAAAGTAACCATTTCACTCATGGAAAGGGTAGAGTTTATGAAATGGTTAAATTTCTGTCTTTATTCTAAATGGGAGTACTGAAGAGTAGACTTACACTTTTTTCTTTGTTTTATTTTTAAAGTAAATCTTTGGCTACTATAGTGTTCCTTGTCTAGATTGTTCTAGCATGCCATGTTAAATTGGTTCAGAACTAATAATCCTTTTTGTCTTTCCCTTCTAGAATGCTAAAAGATGACTTAAAACTCAGCAGCAGTGAGGACAGTGATGGCGAACAGGTATGTTTATGATATTTTTGCCAGTATCATCTAGTATTTGTGTGGGTTTTTTTTGGTATAATTGACTTAATACTTAGTGATCAGTTATTTAAAATGAATTTCTTCTTATAGGCTTTCTGACAATCAAATGTTGTTTTTGTGCTCTGTTTCAGCCTCCATTTTTTATTACTTTTACAGTACTGACTTTGCTTTCGTATTTGTTATGAATTAGAGTATATTCACGAAGCAGATTATTGATAAGAACTCTTAATAAAACATTGATGCTTATGCTGGCAATTCTGTTACTCTTTAGATGCATAAAACTGTATATGCTAAGTAAGCCTTGATGCATACATTAGAGAAGTCATTTTGTTCTTCAGAAATTCAGATATTGTTCTCATTAAGCAAACAGAGTACTAGTTATTCATTTACAGATTTACTTCCTATGCTTTCATTTTAGGATTGTGACAAAACAATGCCCAGGAGTACACCCGGAAGGTAGACATTCTTGTGTTTTTTGTTTCATTGAAGGGATAAGGTCAGCCTGGTAACATTGAGGCGATACAATAAGTACCCTTCTAAAATGTGTATTATCAGTTGTCATGGTGTAAATTAAAAATTGTTATATTCTTAAAGTAGATGAATTTTATATATAAGTAGTATCTCAAATTATTTTTAACACTTGCTTTACTTGCTTCATTGTATCTGAGTTCTGGTTTTACAGTCTAAATAGGAGTAAACCTTTTAGGAAGCAGCGCTGTAGTCCAGTGGGTATAATGCCTGAGTCCCAGCATGAGAACTTGGGTTTGATGTCCGTCTCTGAGCTCCAGCCTTCAGCCTTGTGCTGATGCAGATCCCGGGAGGCAGTGGCTCCAGCAACTGACTTCCTACTGTCCTGTGGCAGACTGGCTCCCAGTGTTTGCACTGGCCCAGTTGTGGCTATTGCAGGCATGTGGGGAGTGAACCGAGAGTAGAAACTCCCTTAGAGCTCTGTCTGTTTTTCTACTTCTCCATCTCGCAAATAAATTAAAAAAACAAATTAAATAGCAAATATTTTAAGTAAAGTTGATTGTCAGACATGTTTGTTTTCCTGTTGTCACTATGTATAACATGCTCATTTTTAATCTCTTTTAGTAATTCTGAACCCTCCCATCATAATAGTGAAGGGGCAGATAACTCCAGAGATGATTCTAGCAGCCACAGTGGATCAGAAAGCAGCTCTGGATCTGACTCCGAGAGTGAAAGCAGTTCCAGTGACAGTGAGGCGAATGAGCCGTCCCAGAGCGCGTCGCCCGAGGTGAGACAGTTCAGGAGCCACCTTGCTTAGCCCTTGCAGGGAGGCCCTTAGTGACGCTTGCTTTAGATCCCACTCCTGTACAGGAGGGGAAGCAAAGGAGGTTACATATTCCAAAGAAAGAAAATTGAGTCGTGGCATTTTAGAAAAAACCTAGGTACTTTACTTTCAGTTTTCTTTGAATAGTCATTTGGTCTAGATTAGGGACTGCTTGCAAGTTATTAAGCTACTGAATTCACTTTTGTATTGCAGCAGGGTAACTCGTGTTGTAGTAACTGTGGATAAAATAAGTCATGTTAATTTCACTGTGGCTCAATAAAATGCAGATAAAAATCTTGCCACATACACTATTTGTTTACTTTCTAGAAATAAGTATACTTGATGGTAATTTGTCATAATGCCTTGAAAGTTGGATTCCTAGCAGTATTATTTGCTATTTGAAGGTCACACTTGGGGAACTTCGAGTCATTCACAGGAAATGTGTTTTCTGCACAGATAGGAAAAATGTTTGCACCATAATAACTGACCTTTTAATATTATTTTCCATATGTAACACTAAGTTTGTGTTTTGACTCAATGTTTAAAGCTGATAGTATTCAGCTGTATGGGTTTTGCTCAGTCAGAACTAGGAAAAGCAGATACTTTTATTGTTTTAGGCATTGTGTCTTCCTCTTCCTGTGACTGAAGGAGACAAAAAGTCCCAGCATTGAAAAAGCGTATATATTTTGGTTTTTCAGCCTGAACCACCACCAACAAACAAATGGCAGCTTGATAATTGGTTGAATAAAGTGAACCCCCATAAAGTGTCTCCAGCATCTTCTGTGGATAGTAACATCCCATCATCTCAAGGCTACAAAAAGGAGAGCCGAGATCAGGGCCCTGGGAGTGGCTACACTGACACCAGCGCGCCGAAAGAGACGAGTTCTGCTACTCCCGGGCGGGACTCCAAAACCATCCAGAAGGGGTCAGAGAGTGGGCGCGGCAGGCAGAAGTCTCCTGCACAGGGTGACAGCACAACACAGAGGAGAACTGTAGGCAAAAAGCAACCTAAAAAGGCTGAGAAGGCAGCTGTTGAAGAACCCCGAGGAGGCCTGAAGATAGAGAGTGAGACCCCGGTGGACATGGCTGCCAGCCTGCCGTCCAGCAGGCACAAAGCAGCCACCAAGGGCTCAAGGAAACCCAATATAAAGAAGGAGTCTAAATCTTCCCCTCGGCCTCCAGCAGAGAAAAAGAAATACAAGACGGCAAGTAAATCTTCCCAGAAATCCCGGGAAATCATAGAGACAGATACCTCATCCTCGGATTCAGATGAAAGTGAGAGCCTGCCTCCTTCCTCGCAGACGCCCAAGTACCCTGACAGCAGCAGGACTCCAGTGAAACCCTCCTCAGTGGAGGAAGAAGATAGCTTTTTTAGGAACCGAATGTTCTCTCCTATGGAAGAGAAGGAACTTCTGTCACCCCTCAGTGAGCCTGATGACAGGTATCCTCTTATTGTGAAGATTGACCTGAATCTCTTGACTAGAATACCAGGGAAGCCTTACAAAGAAACAGAGCCACCCAAGGGGGAGAAGAAAAATGTGCCAGAGAAGCACACACGGGAGGCCCAGAAGCAAACCTCAGAGAAGGGCTCCAACAAGGGCAAGAGGAAACACAAGGTATGTGGAGAGCTTTTGTTGTTAACATCATACTTTTTTTTTTTGAGAGAGAGAGAGTGTGTGCAATAGAGAACTCCCGCTTGTTGCTTCACTCCACCAGATACCTGCAATTGCCGAGTCTAGACTAGGCCAACCCTTGGAGGTCTCTGGCCAGGATGGCAGGAAGCCTGCGGCTTGAGCCATCACTCCTGTTTCCTGGGATCTGCAGTCACAAGAAGCTGGAGTTAGGATGTCCAACACCGTTGCACTGGCAGGGGACACAGGCTTGGAGATGGCTAAGCCAAGGCCTGTCTTTCTGCTGTTTTTTTTTTTGAACAACATGATTTGAAATGCTAGGAGGATCTCAGTAAGCCACAGATTGATAAATTGGCTCAAGGCTGTGAAGGAAAGCGTGAATCGCAGGCCAGCTATGGGGCAGTCTGTTGGACCCCTGTGCAAAGCAGCATAGTTTACATCAAGTGAATTTGAAATATGTGTTGGCCAATGTAGAAGTGACATTAGAAGAAAGAGTGCTAACTGACCTTGCAACAGTCTTAAAATCTTGTTTATAGATGGTTTTTTTAAAATTAGGGTGTATGCTTCTTCCCTCTGGGATGTCACAATTTTCTACTATTTTCTGGATTTGTTTGTTTGTTTTAGTTTTATTCATTTGAAAAGGAGGAAAGATAACTCCTGTCCACTGATTTCTTCCCCAAGTGCCTGCCATGATCATGGCTCATCCAGCCGGAGCCAGGAGTCTGGACCTCAATCCAGGTCCTCCAGCTGGGTGGCAGGAGTGAGACCACTGAGTCAGGACCTGATGCCTCCCATGTTGGTCAGCGGCAGGACGCTGGAACCTGAAATGGAGCAAGGCACTCAGTCATGAAACATAGGTGTCCCAGCCTTGACCCCCGCTGCTTAGCCAAACACCTGCCCCTGGCTTGCTTTTTTATCTTACACCTGATTTAATTGGGAAGTCACATATACAAAAGGGAGGAGAGATAGAGAGGAAAATCTTCTATCCATTGATTCACTCTGCAAACAACTCCCCACCAACAGCCAGAGCTGAGCCGATCCGGAACCAGGAAACAGGAGCTTCTTCCTGGTCTCCAACCTGGGTGCAGGGTCCCAAGGCTTTAGGCCATCCTCGACTGCCTTCCAGGCCTCTAGCAGGGAGCTGGATGGGAAGCGGGGCTTCCAGGATTGGAACCAGCGCCCATATGGGATCCCAGCATGTGTAAATTGAGGACTTTAACTGCTAGGCCACTGCACCAGGCCCAGATTTTTTTTTTTCTTTAACTAGTTCTAGCTAAAATTGATTCACTAGTTTTGACATATGTTTAACAATTTAATGACCACCTTGTACATGTTTGTGCCCTATTTTTTATTAAATAGAAATTAGAAATAAAAATATCTACTGGTACATAGATGACCCTCATCTCTACATGTTTCCAAAATAGTTTGGAGGAAATGCTTGATATATATTTACAGTCAGTTTATTGTAGTCACAGGAAATGTAAAAATCATCAAACAGTAATAGTCATGGAAGGAAAAGACAAGTCAATTACACAGCAGTGACTGCATTGGGGAGGGGCAGCTTTTGAGCTCTTTTCTTGTGCAGGGAAGAATTTTTAAGGAAAAGAAAACTTTTCACAATAGTCTGTGCTGAAGAATGATTCCCTCATCCGCATCTGTGAATGTGATTGTAAAAGGCTGAAAGTTGAACTTCAGCAAGTAAAAGACAAGGACCAGAATGGCCTTATCAATAAAGCCAGGATACAAACCCCACTCAGGCTGAGCTGAGAACAGAGAACACATCCTTAAATACAGTCAGCCAGAGACGTTTTTCTGCCCTTTTATTAAAACCGCAGTGCAGGTACCAGGTATTCCAACAAAGGAGAATAATTTGCCCCATTGCTTCCTTTTCTTTCTTTTTTTTTTTAACTTAATGGAGTTAAATTGTTCATCTTACTTGAATTTCTAGAAAAGTGAAGCAACTGTTCTATAATATGTAAGTTGGCCTTTCAACTAAACAGTTAATTTTTTTTAAGATTTATTTATTTTTATTGGAAAGGCGGATATACAGAGGAGGAGAGAGAGAGAGGAAGATCTTCCATCCGATGATTCACTCCCCAAGTGCCATCAACGGCCGGTGCTGAGCTGTTCCCAAGAGAGGAGCCCAGATCCTCTTCCGGGTCTCCCACGCGGGTGCAGGGTCCCAAAGCTTTGGGCTGTCCTCGACTGCTTTCCCAGGCCACAAGCAGGGAGCTGGAAGGGAAGTGGAGCTGCCGGGATTAGAACCGGCGCCCATATGGGATCTTAGCGCATTCAAAGCGAGGACTTTAGCCACTGAGCCACAGCACCGAGACCTAAATAAATCTTTAAAAAGATTATTATGCAAAATGAAAAGAACCACCTAGAAATGCCACACATGTTTTATGATCCATTTAGAGGAAATGGCTAGAATAAGCTGTCCATGGAGACAGGCTGTGTGGTGACTGCAGGACTTGGGGAGAGCAGAATGAAGAATGACTGTTAATGGGTATAGGATGTCTTTTTTTGGATGATGGGAATGTTCTACAACTGATTATGGTGATAGTTGTACAGTTGTGTGCATGTACTAATGCTATGGAATGGTGCTTTTGTACACAGTGAATTTTATGGTGTATGAGTTGTATTTTCATTTTATTTTTGTGACTATCACCCATCCCCAAAGTCATTGTATTACCATCTAAATACTGAAAGCTTGTTGCAGTATTTGTGTTGTGTAGATCTACAACAGAAGACTACTTTTCAACCTCAAAACCAGATGTAGGGCCTGGCATTTCTGCACCTGTGATGGCAGCTTCCGGTGTGGTCACTAGTTGGTGTCTCAGCTGTGCCAGTCACATCTGGCTCTCCAGAAGATCCCTGCCACCTAAAGGGAGTACAGTTCCAGGTTCCTGGCTTCAGCCTTGCCCAGTTCTGGCTGTTACCGCCATTTTTCAGAGCGAACCCGCAGATGAGCAATCTGTCTCTTTATGTTTATCCTTTGCTCGCTATGATTCTGCCTTTCAAATAAACCATTTTTTTTTAATGTCATGTTTAGGGCCCGGTGCAATAGCATAATGGTTAAAGTCCTTGCCTTGAAAGCGCGGGGATCCCATATGGGCACCATTTCTTTTTTTTTTTTTTTTTTTTAAAGATTGATTTAATTATTGGAAAGTCAGATGTGCAGAGAGGAGGAGAGACAGAGAGGAAGATCTTCCATCTACTGAGTCACTCCCCAAGTGACCACAACAGCCGATGCTATGCCAGTCTGAAGCCAGGATCCGGGAACTTCTTCCAGGTCTCCCACACGGGTGCAGGGTCCCAAAGCCTCAGGCCATCCTCAGCTGCTTTCCCAGGCTACAAGCAGGGAGCTGGATGGGAAATGGAGCTGCCGGGATTAGAACCGACGCCCATGTGGGATCCCGGCGTGTTCAAGGCGAGGACTTTAGCCGCTAGGCCACCATGCCGGGCCCATGGGCACCATTTCTAATTGCGGCAGTCCTGCTCCACTTTCCATCCAGCTCCCTGCCTGTGGCCCAGGAAAGCAGTTGAGGACGGCCCAGAGCCTTGGGACCCTGCACCCGCGTGTGAGAACCAGAAGAAGCTCCTGGCTTCTGGCTTTGGATTGGCTCAACTCCAGTGGTTGAGGTTACTTGGGGGAGTGAATCATTTAACAGAAGATCTTCCTCTCTGTCTCTCCTCCTCTCTGTATATCTGCCTTTGCAATAAAAGTAAATAAATCTTTAAAGAAAATACTAAATTGACAGAAAATTGCATACATGAGCTCTTGGATGTCTCTTTAGTATTATCTTTAAAAACAAGGAGGGAGCCTTGATTGATTTGAAAAGCAGAACAACAGAGTTATGGAAAGACAGAGGCAAGGAAAAGAGATCTTCCGTTTGCTGGCTCACTTCCCAAATGGCAGCAGGTGCAAGTTTTAGCCAAGGCCAAAGCCACAGGCAAGGAACTTGTCCCACCTTGGTGGCGTGGGTCAAGCACCTGGGCACTGTATTGACTTCCTAAGTGCCTTAGCAGAAGCTGGAGTAGCCAGGGCTTGAACTGGCAACTGATAGGGAATAATCATGTCCCAAGTGGCAGCTTACCACACTGTGCCACATGCTGGCTCCCCATTGGTCTTACTTCTGACATTTCTCTGTGATAAATGGTCTGAGAATGACAGTACCGGATGTTGAAGTTAGATGAATGAAAATTTTCTGTTTCCCATCCAGAGTGATGATGATAACCGAGCCAATGAGAGCAAGAAACCTAAAACAGAAGATAAGAATTCAACAAGCCACAAGCCATCCAGCAACAGAGAGTATGTCCCCCAAACACGCCACATATCAGTGTTGTTAGCATGTCTGTTTTGGTGATGGGTTCTTTCTAATGTTTTCTGAGTGTGTTCCTTGTAGTAAGTTTGTATCATATACAAGTACTCCTCACATACTGGGAGATTCTGATTTTTAAGTAATAGAAAGCATTTGAGATTGGATTACTGCTTCCTCGTAATGGTTCCAAGGTAATTATAGAGTGATAAACTTGTGTGGCACCCTGTCTGTAATTGCTGGCTCAGAAATGTTGATTTCTCCATTCATGACTGGTGTGTCCATCCATTCAGCCAATATGTACTGAGTGCCTAGTGGGCCATTTCAGGCATCAGCCGTGCAGCTATGGAGAGAACTTGACAAGAGTCCCAATTCTGCAGAGTTGAGCCTTGTTTTGTAGAAATAAATGTGCGCTGGTAATCAACTGTGGGAGTAACCTCCTTGTCCTGAAAGCGGGCAATGAGAAGCAGAAGGTTCTATCAACCTGTACCAGTGTATGGAGCAATGAGAATTTTTTGGTTTGGTTTGGTAGGTCATCTAAGCAAAGTGCTGTGAAAGAAAAGGACTTGTTGCCTTCCCCTGCTGGGCCTGTGCCTTCGAAAGATCCCAAATCAGAGCACAGCTCTCGGAAGAGGACTATCAGTCAGTCTTCGTCCCTCAAGTCCAGCAGCAACAGCCACAAGGAGAACAGTGGCAGCAGCAAGAGCAGCTCCTCCACGTCAAAGCAGAAGAAGACTGAAGGGAAGACTTCCAGCAGCTCCAAGGAGGTGAAGGTACGGTGCTGGCGTCTGCCCTCCGACCCCCGGGCACACCAGCATCCCCCAGGAGTGCCACTTCGAGTCCTGGCTGCTCTGCTTCCCATCCAGCTGTTTTCTATAGTTGTAGAAGGTCATCCCTTGGGGTCCCTGCTCCCCTCAACAAAAGACCTGGATGGAACCCCGGGCTCCTGGCCGCCTCCTGGTTCGGCTGCAGTTGTGCAGCCGCTGGGGAGTAAACAAGTATGTGGAAAACCTCTGCCTCTCTGACTTTCCAATAAAAGTAAATAAACCTCTTTTAAAAGAAATATTAACATAGAAACCCAATATTGATTACATTAATTATACAAGTTTTTGATTCTAAGTTTTAGTTATTTCTACTTGAAAAGCAGAGAGATAGAGTGACATACCAAGTGAGAGAAATCTGTCTTTTGATTGACTCTGCAAATGCTTGTCATAGCTAAGTCTGGTCTATGCAGGGTGAGTTGGGCCATCACTTGCTGACTCCCAGGAGGGACCTGGACCAGAGCAGAGCAAAGACTGAAACCAAGCACTGTGGATGAGGTGGCTGTGTCCCGAGCTGCATCTTAACCACTGAGCCAATTGCTTACCATGCGGGTTTTTAAAATAATCTTTAAATGACTCTGATTGTTGAAGTTTGAAACGAGCTTTAGGTTTTATACAATTAGACTGTAGGAACAAGTTTTATAATAAGAAATGACAAAGCAACTATTTTGCCTAGACTCATGAAATAGAGAAAAATCTTTTCAGTTTAGCTTTGAAATTATTCCTCGTTGTTATAGCGTGCTCATTATGCTGGGAAATAGTCTCCACATTTATCAGTGGAGATCTGAATCAGAGTAACATCCTCAGTTCTGTACTTTAATAGACTACTACATTGTTGGCATTGTTTTTAAATTATTGTAATTAGAACTCCATGAAATCAGAGCATGCAATGAAATTTAAGAAAATATCCGAATCTTAAAGAACATAGCTTATTTTTGTTTTTCAAAGATTTATTTATTTTTATTGGAAAGTCAGGTATACAGAGAGGAGGAGAGACAGAGAGGAAGATCTTCCATGCGATGATTCGCTCCCCAAGTGACCGCAATAGCAGGTGCTGAACTGATCCGAAGCTAAGAGCTTCTGAGTCTCCCACATGGGTGCAGGATACCAAGGTGTTGGGGCTATCCTGGACTGCTTTCCCAGGCCACAAGCAGGGAGCTGGATGGGAAGCAGAGATGCCAGGATTAGAACCAACACCCATATGGAATCCTGGCGCCTGCAAGGTGAGGACTTTAGCTGCTAGGCTACCATGCCGTGCCAATTATTTGTTAGTTAGTAAAGCGAAGATCTCAGAGTTGAATAATTAGAATACTGTGCTGGTGAAGTGGCACTGTGGAGCTAGCTTCCCACATGGTTACCAGTTCCAGTTCTGGCTACTTCACTGCAGATCCAGCTCCCTGTTTAGGGGCTGGGAAAAACAGTGCAGGAAGCCCCAAGTGTTGGGTCCCTGCACTCACATGGAAGAGCTGGAAGAAACTCCTGGCTTCATTCTGACCCAGCTCCAACTGTTGCAGCCCTTTGAGGGTGAGCCAACAGATGAAAGACATTTAAAATATTTTACTTATTTATTTATTTGTTTATTTATTTATTTATTTGAAAATGAGGAAATGAGAGAGCTCTTGCACCTGCCAGAAGCTCCTTCCCGATTTCTCATGTGGGTCACATGGACCCAAACATTGGGGCAGTCTTTACTGCTTTCCCAGGCTGTTAGCAGGGACTGATTGGAAGTGGAGCGACCAGGACAGGAGCTGGTGCCCATATGGGATGCCAACATTGCAGGCAGGAAGCTTTACTTACTATGCCACAATGTTGGCCCTTACATCCAGGCACTTTGGATTCTGTGAAACAGAGGAAAACTATCCTAGAAATGTACCTACCAAAATATAAAATTCAAAAAGCTACTTCATAAACTCAAAATTTTTTCCCTAAAAAAAAAGTTGGAATTTCCTCTGATCTCTAAATTTTTTCCCTTGAAATAAGGAATGGATGAACTGAAAAGCCAGTCAGAAAAGCCAAAAAATTGAGTGCAGGAGTATTATAAATGAATGTTAAGCTCAAGTTGTAAGACACTATTTCTCAGGTTTATGTCGGTACAACAGCCATAAAAGACATGCTGTAGTACTTTCCTTCCTTCCTTCCTTCCTTCCTTCCTTTTTGGTACGTAAATATTTTTCATCTTATGAAAGAGTTGAGGGAGGGCAGTTGGGTCTGTGGATACACTGGGGTGGACTTTGCCAGCCAGTACACATTGGAGGGATTTTCTAAGCCTTGGAGCAGTGAGAACCATGGTATCTGGGCTCTCCAAGCCACTCAGGTGTGACCCTTGGTGCACTCTGCTCTACATCTGGGTCTCCAGGGCTTCATCTGTTCCCAGGTGCTGGAGTGGTTTGACACCAAGGAACAACCCTCTCCCCATCCTGGATGCAGGAGAGGAAAGACATTGGGGGAAAAAAAGGGGTCCTCCCCACTCTGATCAGAGGCTCACATACATGTGCATCCTTCTCAATTGTACAAATATTAAAAATAAATTTTAAACAATGGACATAAAAGGCCATGTTGACAGGGAGAAGAATATTCATGCTGTTGAGAGGATAAATTTTAAGAAGGCTGGGCCCAGCGCCGTGGCCTAGTGGCTAAAGTCCTTGTCTTGAATGTGCCAAGATCCTGTATGGGCGCCGGTTCTAATCCCGGCAGCTCCACTTCCCATCCAGCTCCCTGCTTGTGACCTGGGAAAGCAGTTGAGGACGGCCCAAACCTGGGGACCTTACACCCACATGGGAGATGTGGAGGAAGTTCTTGGCTCCTGGTTTTGGATCAGCATAGCACCAGCCGTTGACAGCACCTGGGGAGTGAATCATCAGATGAAAGATCTTCCTCTCTGTCTCTTCTCTTCTCTGTATTATCTACCTTTCCAATAAAAATAGATAAATCTTAAAAAAAAAAAACTTTTAAAAAAATTTTAAGAAGGTGGTTAAATTTTTTAAATTAAGCAGATCTAGATATCATATTAAAAATTCTAACAATGCCATTTAAAAGTTGTTTGACCTAGGGTAAATTACTAAACTTTCTTGACATTACCTTTTTTTAATTTAATATAATAGCAGTACTTAGGATTGTTGGAGGGTTAATGAGTTTATGAAGTGCTTTGACAGTGCCAAGGATGTAGTAAGCACAGGATGCCTGTATTGCTTCATCAGTCAGTAGTGACCGATCAATTTTGCCATAAGTCGGATTGCCATTTCGAAGTTGGTTTTCTGTTTCTGTTTTAACAAGTACATAAACCTATGCCTGGCACATAGTAGTCCCTTCCTCAATAAGAGAATGTTTTGGTTATAACCTGTTCTGTGGAAAATAGTTGACATGAAAAGCTAATACAAGTTTTAAAGCAAGAAAATTGATTACCAAAGGCAATGGAATTTTTTTAACCAGTGGCTGAAGATACACTATAAGTTTACTTTTTAATCTCTCAGTTTTCAATGTGGTTATATATTTTGTCGGTCAGGAAAAGGCTCCAAATAGTGCCTCTAACTGTCCTCCGTCTACACCGACTCCTGACACGTCTAAGCCTCGGAGAACAAAGCTTGCCTTTGATGACAGGTGAGAGCAATATGATTGTTTTATTTCCTAAGGAAATCATTCCAGCAAATCAAACGTTCATTTTAATTTCTATCAACAGCCAGGATTCATGTGTGAACCCTAAAATGTTTGGGTTTTAACTTAAAGGTTCCGACTAGGCCAAGGACTGCTCCTTTAACCTAGCACTGTGATCTGATATGCAGAGTAAATGTTCTCTCCTGGAAGGCTTGGCTGCTGCTGGCGCCACTGCCTAGGCTGGAGATTGTCTTGTAGAAGGAAGAGCAGTGTTTTTGTAATGTGGATTTTTCACCCCTACTTTGATAAAAGATTTTCTCCTGCTCACATCTTTTCTGTTAATTTTTCAAGCAAGTTAAAAAAATAAGTAATAAATACTTAGGAGCTTGGTTTGTCATGATTTGGCCAAAAGGATTCATGTTCATAATCCAATCAATACATTTTTGAGAAAATAAGTGAGATAATTGCCTAATAAAAGCTTAGTTTCTGTACTTTTGGACAGCAAAACTGAAAATATAGCACAATTATGTTACCCTGTGAGTTACACTGAAAATTTCCATTGCAGAAGTTACTCAGCCGACCACTATTTACAAGAAGCAAAGAAGCTAAAGCACAATGCAGATGCATTGGTATGTCAAGATTGTCCTCACAGTTTGTATTAATCAGCCTAACTTTACTTCATTTGTTGCTTGTGCTTGTTGTAAATCCCTACTCACTGTTTTATTCTCATTTCTGCAGTCGGATAGGTTTGAGAAAGCCGTGTACTATCTTGATGCTGTGGTGTCTTTTATTGAATGTGGGAACGCGTTGGAGAAGAATGCTCAGGAATCCAAATCCCCGTTTCCTATGTATTCAGAGACAGTGGAACTCATCAAGTAAGTGGAGAATTGCATTGTGTCCTTGGCAGTGCGGTGTCCCAGCCTGTCTGGGAAGGAGCTGACATCACAGTGAACTCAGTGGGGTGCTTACTGCCTTATTTCCCTTGGATAGGGGGCGCTAGGTGATCGAGTTGGTGTTTTTGCCTCTGTGTTTGGTTTTGGTTCTTGAAGGACAACAGAAGCTGTGAGATTGAGTTGAGAATGTATGTTGTGTTAGACACGTATCTGTTGTTGCTCACTCACAGGTACACTATGAAGCTGAAGAGTTACCTGGCACCAGATGCTACAGCTGCAGACAAAAGGCTCACAGTCCTCTGGTGAGTGTCGCCCTCGCGGCTTCCGCCAGGCCGCCAGCAGCTTCTGATCAACCCTGTGTGCTCTGAGCTGAATGTTAGCCTGGAATCCGAGTTCTGTGACTCTGACCCAGTTCTGAGTCAAGCAGGAAATAACAGTTCCTACTGAGAGGTTGTGAAAGCTTTTAGTTGTCGTCACTCCGACCCCTCGCCTCTATGGGGTGAGGCTTTACTAGGGCACTCCATTCTTCCTTTTTTTTTTTTAATTTTTTGGGTTTTTTGACAATCTTTACATGGTTAATTAGGGCACAAAGGTTCAAGGGCTACAGGAAAGTGGGTAAGACTATTATTTCCACATTCTCTCTTTTTTTTTTTTTTTTTCCTGTGCCTAGGATAAAGGAAGTCGCCCCACCTGGCCTCCCACCAACACCAGGTCCCTGATGTGGGGCATGCTCCAAGGGTCTTGCTCAAGTGGTTTTGATAGTTCAGCAGTTATGAATTGCTGCCAATCTGGCCATTCCAAGCACGATAAAGTCATTGCAGAATCCACTGATTGACATAGTCCATCCTTAGAGTTTCCATTTGTCTGTTTTTTTCACTGTCAACATATGGGTAGAGTAGTTGATTGGTTTGTTCTATCCTCTCTTGTGGTGTCAGGTAGCCTTTGCAGGTTCCGATGGGCTAGGGCACCCCATTCTTTGTAAATGGCAGTTTTTCCAGAATGTTCTGGGTTGTGTTTTTATTCATTTTATTTATTTGAAAAGCACGGAGTCAGAAAGATCTTGCATCTACTGACTCATTGCCCAAAGAGCTGACCAGGCCAGGCCAAAGCTGGAAGGTGAGAACTCAGTCTCCAGTGTAGGTGACAGGGACCCGAGGACTTGCATTCTGAGCCGCTGCCTTCCGAGGTATACATTAGCAGGAAGCTGGGCTGGGAACTGGAGCCAAGACTCCAACACAGGCACTTGGCTACTGGAAGTGGTTGTTTCAAATGACATCTTCGTCACCAAGGCAAAGGCATGCCCTCTCCCCCCACTGTTTTAAGTACCTCTCCTCTCCTTTTACAAATGTACCTTGTTTGGGGAACAGCCTCTAGCTTGCGCCGAATACAGAAAGCATTATTTTGTTATTATTTATTATTATTTTTTTTTGCTTAGTCCCAAAATAAATGAGACAAATAGATGAGTTTAATTATTAGTAGACATTTTCTTGGCCTGGTCCCATGTTTAAAGTGGGGAACACAACTATGAATAAAACTGACAACAGTCCTGTTTGTCATGGAGTTTATTGTTATAATGTAAAAACAGCAAGTGTCAAATACTCATTCAGCTGTGTGAGTGAAATCCATTGAAAGGAAAGTCAGCGCAGCCCTGAGTCTGAGAAGCAAGAATGGGAGCAGACATTAGGTCGGTGCTGAAGACACCCACAGCCCACATCCGAGTGCCTGGGTTCCTGTCCCAGCTCCCAGAGCCTGCTTCCTGCCAATGTGCTCCCCCAGGCACAGTGACAGTGACCCTCCTGAGAGTTCCTGACACCAGCCTTCCAGCGGTCTCGCTTCTGGATTCCCCTGCCCACCTTGTTCCTGCTGCTGCTCTAGGCATTCAGAGCGTGCACCAACAGGCAGGCAGTCTCTCTCTCTCTCTCTCTCTCTCTCTCTCTCTCTCTCTCTCTCTCTCGTCCTGCCTCTCAATTTTAAGATTTATTTTTATTTATTTGAAAATTAGTTACAGAGAAGTAGGAGAGACAAAGAGGTCCTCCAGCCATTGGTTTATTCCTCAAAGGCTGCAACAGCCAGAACTGGGCCAAGCCAAAGCCCAGAGTCATGAAGTGAATTGGAAATGGAGCAACCAGGATTGGAACCACAGCCCATGTGGGATGACAGCATTGTAGGCGAAGTGAAGGGGCCTACTTCACTGTGCCACACACTGATCCCTAAATATGTATATATTTTAAAAAGATAAAGACTTGGAGACAAGAAGACCTACTAGGCAGAGGACACAGAGGGATGGCAAGAAGCATGCGCATCGGAGACACTGAGCGAAGAGCATGACTGGCTGGGGCAGGGTGATCATGCTGGACCCCTGTGCTGTGTGGTCAGATTTTTGCAGTGTTGGAGTTATGTTGTTCATAGTTGAGTGTCCAAAGTTGTTAGCATTTGTTGTTGTTGGTTTTTTTTAGCTTCAGATTATTTGTAATTTGATTTGGAGGTTCTTTACCTTAACAGTTTCATTTTATATTTCATTTTTCTTTCTTTTTTCTCTGTTTTTTCTTTCCTTCCTTATTTGTTTAAAAGATATGATCAGAAAGGAAGGGAAAGAGAAATTGATCTTCCCTCCTCTGGCTTACTTATCAAATAGCTGCAATGGCTGAAGGTAAGCTGAGCCAGAAACCAGGATGTTCTTCTGAGTCTCCCACACAGGTGCACGGTCCCAAAAACTTGGGCCATTCTCCATTGCCTTCCCAGTCCACAAGCAAGGAGCTGGATGGGAAGTGGAGCAGCTAGGACATGAAGCAGCATCAATGTGGGATCCTGGCACTTGGAGGTGGAGGGTTAGCCAGTTGAGCCATTGTCCAGCCCCTCAATCATTTGTTTCAGTGCAAGCATTACTTGGATACATTGGATGAATGAGCTTTTGATTTTGAATAGCAGCAAATGATGAGAGTTAGTGCTGAATTTTAGACATTCCCATCCCCCACCCCAGGATTTATACCACAATTACAGCACATTTTTTGGTTTTGTTTCAGGGTGAATGTTATTCACCTTAAGCCAGTGTTTGTTATCATGCACTAGTCTTGTACTCTTACTAAATGCAAAGATTGCCTGTGCCGATATGACCAGCTGTCCTGCTTAAACAAACTGCCCTTTTCCATTTGCCAGCCTGCGCTGCCAGTCTCTGCTGTACCTGAGGCTGTTTAAGCTGAAGAAGGAAAATGCTCTGAAATACTCGAAGACACTCACGGAGCACCTAAAGGTCAGTGCGCCAGGGGACCATTCTGTTCCCCGGAGGCAGAGTTTGCAGGCTCTCATTGCCAGCCCAGAACTGCCCTGTGTTTAGGTAAGATAGCAGGACAGGGGCCACTGTGTGGGCGCTTTTAGATAGGTTTGAGATTTCTTGGGGTGTATCTAGATGCACATATAGCTCCTTGTAGAATTTCAGCAGTTGTATGTACTTCAATAGCAATCTCTTCCTTTTTTAAAATATGTATTTGTTTTTATTGGAAAGTACATTTACACACAGAGAGAGACCTCCCTTTCATTGGTTTGTTCCCCAAATGGCCTCAAGAGCCGGAGCTGAGCCAATCTAAAGCCAGGAGCCAGGAGTATCTTCCTGTCTGCTGTACAGATGCAGGGTCCCAAGGCTTTGGGCCATCCTTTCCCAGGCCACGAGAAGCAAGTTGGATGGGAAGTGAAACAGCCAGGACATGAACCAGCACCCATATGGGATGCTGGCATTTGCAGGCAGAGGATTAGCAGTTGAACCATTGTGCCTGACATACCCTCCCACCCCCCGCCAATTAATGACATTTTGTTTACACAGCCATTCTTTAGACTGTTGTCTTAGCTTCCTAAAACATCTTTGTGCTTTTTCAAATCAGTACTACATAAATCCTCCTAGAATCTTTCTGTGATTACTTGGAACCCCTCAGTAGGTTAGCCAGAGCCTACAGCCTCAATCCAAACTCTTAACCCTGGTCTGTAAGTCCCTTACGGTCTTGTGTTTCTTGTTCAAACCTGTTTTACGTACATTATATGGGTCATGTACATTCTTGGTACATAGTATGTCTCGGCCCTCTGCCCTCCCGGCTCCATGTCATCTGTCTGGATGTGACTCATTCTTTCCTTGCCGACTGTGAAGTCTTCCAGATCCCAGCTCTCACCTAGTAACTTCTTTCTGTTGTGTATTCACAAATGCACACACGTAGGCTTCGGTATCTTAAATTTATAAAGCCTAACACCAGCTCTGGCTCAGAGCCAGAGTTGGGTGTATCTAGTACTTTTTAAGTAATAAGGGTTTTTTCAAGTACATTTTCTTTTTCCACAGAATTCCTACAATAATTCTCAAGCACCATCCCCCGGTTTGGGAAGGTAGGTATAATTTTATCCGACAAAGCATGATTTGCGACAAGTTTATTTGTAATGTAAAAGCGGGATGGATAGGGTCCAGCTCTCAAAACTGGGAAAAAATTACTACTTTAAAAATGAAAACCATTTCTAATAAAGTAAGAGTTGATAAGAGAAATCATCCTGAAAGATTAAAGATGGGATATTTTTACTTGGGGAAATTTTGAGTTTTTCGCTGCACCTCAGCTCTTCTCTCAGTTGATTCCCATGACGTGAATTTGCCACAGTGGGCTCATCTTCCTCGGGTCTTGGCATCACCAGCATCTGTTAGTGGCATAGTTGCGGTTTGTCCCCCAGCCCCACTTCACTCCCTCACCCAGAGGGAGGGAAATAAACACGAAGTCTCTTTTCTTTAGTAGTTTTATTCTTTATTCGGTTCATTTATTCTTGAAAGAACTGACGTTCTGCATACTTGTACCTTTTGTCACCTCTGAATAATTGAGCTGACCCGGAAAAGTGCAGTATTTGTAGGATTCAAAGCAATATGAACAAGAGGCCATCGCAAGCCTGCCTAGGTGGGGACTTGTGCTGGGCCAGAGAGAGGGCACGCGGCTTCGAAGCCCTTGAGCCGCCGCTAGCAGGGTGTGTTGCGTCTTCAATTGACCATCTCCTGTTCTGATGTTATTCATTATAACAAAGGATCTAGAGGATTATAATTAAACATAGTGACCTTTAGTGGGAGAAATTGTGCTTCTGAAGTTCCTTCTAGTTAAAAGAATCCAATTGTCAAAGACTTCATGTGGCGTCCGTCGGGAGTGTGTTGATTGAGAAGGCTCACCGCGTCCATGTGAACCTGCCTCCTCTTTCTCTCTGTGCAGCAAAGCTGTTGGGATGCCCTCCCCTGTTTCTCCCAAGCTGTCGCCAGGCAATTCAGGAAGTTACTCCTCTGGGGCCAGTAGTGCTTCAGCAAGTGGCTCGTCAGTGACCATTTCACAGAAGATCCACCAGATGGCAGCCATCTATGTGCAGGTTACATCCAACTTCCTCTATGCCACCGAAATTTGGGACCAAGCTGAACAGCTTTCCAAAGAGCAGAAAGGTGCGTGGGTATGCCAAGGAGGGATGGAGTCGTTCAGAGGGCTGTTCCGTGTTTAAATTGTGGCCTAATTTAGAGCTAACAGTCTAATCAGTTTTCTACTCATCTCCACTAAATCTAATTAATTCTGTTTAAAAATTACAACTCATGACACAGATAACTCACACTAAGTTGTTTTTTGGCCAAAGACAAATAGGCCGCTCTTCTGCCACATTGAAGTGCAGTCTTACTGTAAAAGTGATAAAATTTGTCTTGTGTTTGAGGATGATGGCCTGAAGTTGGTTACAGGCTTAGGCTTACATCTAGTTATCTGTGCACCTGTAATATTTAGTATCCAAGAAAGTACCTAAAACCTTGTATCAAGCCACACAGCTCTGCAGAATACTGAATTAGCCCAGCAATCTGTGCTCTGTTGTCCCAGAGAACATTCACGTACTTCAACTACTGACAGCCAGAAGTAAATCCAAGATTCATATCCTAAAGAGGAATAATGGTGAGAGCAAGATAGAAGACAAACCCCAAATTAAACCTAAAGTTAGGAGTCCGGCAAGGTTGCCGAGTGGCTGAAATCCTCACCTTGGCACATGCCGCAATCCCATATGGGTGCCGGTTTGTGTCCCGGCAGTGACCTGTTCCGACCACTTGGGGAGTGAATCACCGGATAGAAGAGCTTCCTCTCTCTATATCTGACTTTCCAATAAAAATAAACAAATCTTTACAAAAAGAGAAAACTAAAGTTGGGTTTTAAAAAACCTGATTTGGGGCCCGGTATGGTAGTCTAGTGCCTGAAGTCCTCACCTTGCCTGTACCAGGATCCCATATGGGTGCTAGTTTTTGTTTGTTTTGTTTTAAGATTTATTCATCTTTAATGGAAAGTCAGATATACAGAGAAGGGGAGATACAGAGGAAGATCTTCCCTCCATTGATTCACTCCCCAGGTGGCTGCAATGGCTGGAGCTAAGCTGATCCGAAGCCAGGAACCAGGAGCCTCTTCTTGGTCTCCCACGCAGATGCAGGGTCCCAAGGCTTTGGGCCATCTTCCACTTCTTTCCCAAGCCACAAGCAGGGAGCTGGATGGGAAGTGAAGTAGCCAGGATATTTGATCCCAGTATGTTTGTTTGTTTATTTATTTATTTATTTGTTTATTTATTTATTGAAATTTTCTTTATCTTTATTGGAAACTCACAGTTACAGAGAGACAGAGTGATCTTCCATTTTTTTTGTGTGTGTGTGAATTTTTATTATTATTAATCACATTGCATTTTGTGACACTGTTTCATAGGCTCTGGGATTCCCCCAACCCCTCTCCATACCCTCCCCCCATGGTGGATTCCTCCACCTTGGTGCAGTATTACAGTTCAAATTCAGTCAAGATTCTTTCATTGCAAGCATAGAGTCCAGCATCTTATTGTCCAGATAAATTCAATGGTTTCTTGGGGAGACCATCTCTGGTCTGAAGGCAGAGCTGGCAGAATCCAGTATGTTTTTTCAAGATTGATTTATTTTTACTTGAAAGTCAGAATTACAGATTGAGAGAGAGATTTCTGCTGATTCACTCCCCAAGTAGCCGAGCCAGCCTGAAGCCAGGAACCAGGAGCCTCCTCTGGGTTTCCCACATGGGTGCAGGAACCGAAGCATTTGGCCCCCTCTGCTGCATTCCCAGCCATTAGCAGGGAGCTGACTCGGAAGTGGAGTCGCCGGGACTCAAACCTGTACCAATACAGGATGCAGGAGCCACAGGCTGAGGATTCCTAAGTCTGCTATGCCATGGTGACTGCTCCTGTCCACACTGTAACAACAGCTACTGAAGTTAGCCATAACTGCTTTATGTCATGTTGTTCCTGTCTATATCAGTTTTTCTCATTGTGTCAATGCACCTTTAAAAAGTCGTTTGATTTGGTTTGGGCAATGGATGCTGAGAAGCCAGGCCAGAAAATGTGTCAGATTGTGGATTTCATTGATCCTTTCCTCAGGATGCTGCTTAGCTTCCTCTGCCCATTCACTTCCCTTATACAGTAGTTTCCTCTTGAGACTTAATTCAAGTTCAGTGTTTCAGATAAGCGTGCTTCATAGAAGGTGCTCTTGTTTTTAATTAGGAAGCGTGTAGCGAGGCCCCTTTTTGGTGATAATAAGATTGGCCAGTGGATTCAATCTGGTGGTGTCACACTGACGGGTTTGGTGTCACGTTTCATTATTAAACAAGTGATTACACTGGGCTCCAACCTCAGGATACTGTCCTCGCTCTTTCTCTCTCTACCCCACTGGTTTTATATAACGACCTGTAGTTGTTTATGTCGGAAGAATTCCCTTATTTCAATCGCCTGTTTTAAAAAATCATCTGAAAACGTGGCATGTGAGTACTAGTGCTGTGGCACAGTAGGTTAAACTTCCACCTTTGGTGCTGGCATTCTATATGGATGCCAGTTCAAGTCTGAGATGCTCCGCTTCCAATCCAGCTCCCTCTTATTGCCTTGGAAAGCAACAGAGGGTGGCTCAGTTCCTTGGGCCCCTGCACACATGTGGGAGAGCTAGAAGCTGCTTGCTTCAGATTGGCTCAGCTCTGGCCCTGCAGTCATTTGGGGAGTGAACCAATGGATGGAAAATAGCTCTCTCTTTTTCTCTGTCTCTTCTTTTCTCTGAAACTCTGCCATTCAATTAAAGCAAATCTTTAAAAAACAAAAGTGGCATTTGTTATGTGAATGGTGTATGCACCTGGTCAGAGCAGGGAAATGACACGTAGATTGTTAGGGCAAATACACCAGAATAATCTTCCTTTTTCTGTCTCGGGCTTTTTTTTTTACACAAAAACAGATCATATTTTGAAGTAATATAATATGTTGTTGCTCTAGGTCTTTATTTAATGGTGTTTGTTGTATATAGTAGCAATCTATAATTTCTGTCAGTAGATTTTGTTTGTGTATAAATCACTTTAATTCCTCACAGTGCATTCTGTGGAAGATGTTGTATAATTAGGAAGCAAATATAACTTCAGAATTTAAGGTAATTTGTTCTAAAAGATAAAAGTAATATTTTAGGATGGGGAGTGATATTTTTTACTTCCCATGAATATTATTTCATGGTCTAGATTCAGAGTTTTAAAGCAGTGATTCAAAAGAATATTACTTAATCAATGTGTTTGTTTCTAGAATTCTTTGCTGAACTGGATAAGGTGATGGGCCCACTCATCTTTAACGCGAGCATCATGACAGATCTGGTCCGTTACACCCGGCAGGGACTGCACTGGCTCCGCCAGGATACCAAGTTGATGTCTTGAACTGAACATATTCTTGATGCCTCTGATTTTTCTCCACAACACTGTGTCACATCACAAAGGAAACTGCCATAACCATGCCACCTAGTTGACACTAAGAATGAGGAACGATTTTCTCCTCCTTGGTCCGTGTGTTGTTTTTAATAACCCAAAACCATCGTTTCAGTTGACCCTTTCAACATGTCCAATGTGAAAAATTATTTAAATGCAGCACAGTTGCAAGATGCTTTATAATAAGATCGAAATACCAGTTGTGATTCATAACTAAGGAAATGAAATTCTATTTATTTTAATTTTTCTAAGTTCCCAGATTGGGGCTTGTTTGAAACGTTAATTATTTCTGCCTATAAATTTACTCTATTGAATATTTAGCATAAATTTAATGTAAACATTTTTATTTATATACTTTGGGAAGTTTGTTACCTAATAATGTCTTTTTGTGGTAGCTCTTCTAAGAGTTAAGAGTTGGTTCATCTAGAACATGGACCTGTGTGTCTATTCCTACTACCTGAATATTATTTCAAATCTTAACTACAATTTTATTATTGTAGAATTGATGCTTAGTATTAAGGATATTATACACATGAAAAATCACTTAAATATGAGATGTCATTCTATGTGGATGTGAAATGAAATGTGTCTGATTTGGTATGCATTACTTCAGAAACTGTGAATGTGTGTTTATAACACTAGAACAATCACAAGGTGTCTAGGACTTGCATTTAATGCATTACAGAAGAGAAAAGGCAGCTTCCCGGGAGAGTGATAGCATACTGAATGGTTTCATAAAAGGACAATCTTGAACTATAGGGGTTTTATTATAAAACCGTGTGTTCTTTTTTGCTGTCAATCATTTGACACTTAATTGAAGCAGAGTAAATTACTATGGGGAAAAAAAGCAAAAGATGGTCCATCTCCTGAGGGTTGTTGCCGGTGTCTCTTGAATTGATATTTGAAGGTTACAAATCTCTCTGCCAGTTTCCTTGTCTCGTACTAGATTGTACTGTTCTGACAAGAGCCTGCGGCGAGTGCTGTGGCGTGGGCTGGAGCTTCGAGGGGTGTGCTTTTGCTGTTCAGCTTACAGTTCTAATGCCCAATGGGGAGATGATGAGTTTTTCTCCTTTTTAAACATATCTTGTATTTACTCCCTTTGTATTGCGAAGGCCCTCATCAATGATGTATGTTTCTGATGGTATCAGAAAATTTGCGCTAGAAAAACACATCACTCGGTTCATGCTGAGCTCTCTGGGGAAGCAGAGGGAGCAGGGGCCAAGCTTGGGAACCAGCTCTGTAAGAACTGTGTCTCCAGGTTCCTTTCCCTGTCACATGCATGTAGGAATCAAGGGTGACAGATGGACCTTCCATATTTTATTTGTGACACCCCTCTCTTGTCTCGTGTGCCTTAAATCTTACCTTTCAATGAAAACTCTATGGATTGTTTACAGATGAAGTTTTACACTAGAAGCATACCGCCCATACGTAGTTGGTCTTCTATAGTAATATTAAATTCTCTTTCCTTTCAAATCTTCTTTTAGGGCCACATCTGTTTTTCCAGTCAATCTAACGCTTTTGTACATGACTTAGTCTAACTAGTTGGATAATGCTGCTTCAAAAAATAATTTGTCCTTCTTCTCATTCCAAAAATGAATCCGTCCAACCCAGGAGAGAAGGAAAAAAAAAAAAACATGGCCCTACTGCACGTAGATGGTGGCTGAGGCCTGAAATTGGAAAGGGAGAAGATGGGCGGAAAATCTCAACATTCAATGGTGCAGTGAATCTTTTTTTGTCTCCGAGTCTCTTTTACACTTCTTTCTGAAACTAGTGAACTCGCATCGTCCTGTGACCTGCTCTGTACCACGTTTGTTTGTTTTTTTTTTAATGTATCATTAACAGTTGAGATCTGTAAATTATGTTGGATTTAACCTTTTTCTCTTGGAGAAATTGCCTCTTAAATCTTTCTGATTGAACCTTAGTGTGTCCTAGGAACAATTTTCCTTAAGAGGACAACTTCTCCCAGTGCTCAGAATCGTAAATTAGTGAGAAACACCTTGTGAATCCAGTCACGCACGTGCCCTGTCCGTCTGCCGTGTCTGACGCCAAGCCTGCCACTCGCTGTGATGTCTTCGGAATGGAATCCATGCCTGCTGGGCTCCTGGCCTTCTCAGCAGCCGCAGTCAGCAGGAGCCCTCTGCGCCCTGATGTGTTCCGGCTTGCTGTGTGCCCTGACAGGCAACCAGAGCACTTCTCGGGCCCCACTGATGCTTTGTGAAAGCAGTTTCCGGATGTCTTATGGTGCTGCTCCACAGATATATTCTCCTTAAAAGTGTTCATTCTTAGAAAATGAATTGTTCAAGCTTTTCATTGTGGAAGGTTTTTCCCAGCAGGTGGTAATGGGCAATACATCAAAATTGCCTCCCAAACAGCTGAATCTTCACCCTCCTAGTCTGTGGAAATGCTACTTCCTCTCTTGCATGTCTGTCTGCTGCAGCGTTCCGTGTCGTCCTCTGCTCTGGCGCATACTCGGGTCTCCTTAAAGGCGACCACTCCTTCCCCCACAGTACGTGTCCTCCGTGTCTCCTCACCATTTAGAACTCAATTTTGACAAGTGGCAGAAAAACTTTTTGTTCGAGACTGACACTTCATATGTAGAAATTATAGAAATAGCACCTATTTCTACAATTCCTCTGTGGACTGCTCTTGTTAGCCCACACTTGTTTGCCTGGAGGCAGCAGCCCACACCACTGGACCCTTTACAGGCCACCAGCGACCCGCTTGTGGTGGACAAAGCTGTCTCAGCAGCCTTGCCAGGCCTAGCTGCGCAGTGGGGAGCGCGCCCTCCAGGCGATTCAGGCTCCCCCAGCCCAGCCCGAGCTCCAGTCTGCAAAGAGTCCAGCCCTTCCCTTGCCTCAGTGCCACCTTTTCCTGAGCAGGGAGCCAAGAAAGTGACTTTTCGAGCAGTGAGTACTTCCGAGAAATTCATAGTTGTAGTTGCTGAAGAGTGGAGAAGACCAGCCACCACTGATTGCCTTCTCCGGTATCCACGCAGCTTAGGGTGATGATGCACGCCCACGCCCACGCCCACACCTGTCCTTCTAGGGGAGCTCTCACATCAGAGACTCCGCAGGGGCCTGGGCTGCACTTGGAGTGACACACTTGTGGCTTTATTAGATTCACTGTTTCTGTTTTAATTGTTGTTTGTTTCCTTTCATTCACGGTTGAATCAGCTAGCCCAGAAAGCATTTTGTGCAAAATTGACAGAAACTTTGGTACATTAACTCGTAGTGGATGAGCTTGCGTTGCGCAGCAAGAGCCTACAGAAGGCACCTGTTAGGACGGAAGTGCTGGCCCCAGCGGCCAGGGCTCAGTGGAGTCTCAGAGCAGCCGGTGAGCACTCCACAGAGTGATGCTTCGTTGTGCAGGGGAGGGCGCCCGGTGCACTCCTCTCAGCATGAGGGTATGCAATGTTGGATCTTAAGATTATGTACACATACACACTTATATATATATGTATGTATGTATGTATGGAAACATGAAATTAGTTCGTCAAAATGTGTGTGTTTAGTATTTTAGCTTAGTGCAGCTATTTCCACATTATTTATTAAATTGATCTAAGACACTTTCTTGTTGACACCTTGAATTTTAATGTTCAAGGGTGCAATGTGTATTCCTTTAGATTGTTAAAGCTTAATTACTATGATTTGTAGTAAATTAACTTTTAAAATATATTTGAGCCCTTCTGTAGTGTAATAGGGCTCTCATGGGGTGGGGAGGGGGGAAGAATTTTACTTTTCCAATTGCTGTTTGAGCAAAATGGCTTCATTGTGTATGTTGATTTATAGGGGTTTGTGTCTGGTCCCCAGGAACATCATTTGGGGTTGGGGGGGTGACTGTTCTAGAAAGATTGTGATGCCTTGGGTTTAAAAAACAAAAAATCCAAGTGACCTGGGGAGCCAGTGCATTTGAAATCCATACAGACTCGTGTAACTCATCCTCCCAAATGAATGGAACCCAGACTTCAGTGTCACATATCAGTGTGTTGAAGAGGCAACTTTTCTTCCAATAAACTGCATATGGAAGGTTGCTCTTCAGGAAATCAACAGAAAAGCTTGGGTGGCTTGAAATATACAGGGACAAGAGGCCAAATGGGTCAGGTTTGTGAGCATGCTCAGTAATGGAGAATTCTGCTTTGAGACCTTAACCCTAAAACCAAGCGACAGGAAGAGTGCTATCAGTAAAGCGGAAGCTGGTCTTAGTTCCTATTGACATGAACCCTGTGATTAATAGTAAACTCGTCTCCAGAAAAGGGAATACTAAGAATAGCTGTATCTTAATGCAATGTGGTCACAGGATAAGGTGTCTGCGTTGTCTGAAGTCGTATCACTCTTAGGGGCAGCCTAAACCTGTAGCTTCAGACATCGCCATGCAAGGGAGTTGGCTTTGAGGATCGCGAGCGTTGGTCTGTCCTTGCCACCACCGTGCCGCTGAGCATGAACTGCCGCTCTGAGCACAGAGCTTCCTGAACGAGAGCGGGAAAGCTTCTGCCCAGAAACTCCCGTCACCCCGAGTTTGGGTCTTACTGTTTCCGTGTGAGGTGTCCTTGCAGCTTTTAGTCATTGGAGTTTTCTGTGTTCCTTTCTGGAGATGAGCTATTTGAAAATACTGCCTTTCCAATCAGTGCCATGGTTATCTATATTGTTGAGTTTGTTGTTGCTGTTCAAGAAGTGTCCCCTTTATACAACTTTTTGCACGCACCTGGCAAATCACCGACCTGAGCATTCAGCAGTACTGGGGTACGGGGGAGGGGTGTGGGAGGCTCACGGACAGAGCTGGCCCGACTGGCAGTACCTAGAAAGGCACCACCTCGGGAGGGCCGGACGTGGGCTTGGTAAGCACAGGTATGAACATGAAAACTTTCTATCTAGCCTCCGTTTTGAGTGGTTTTAAGAAATTTTGTATATGGAGGGTGGAAATGCTTATATATTTATTAAAAGTTCTTTTATTTGAAATTAAAATTATTTGGTAAATAACGGTTTGATATTTGGGGAGGGTTTTGGAGGGGAAATGACGCCGCTGAGAAATCTTAAAGCCGTTGCTTCTGCAGCAAGGTACTGTTAGTGAGGGGGGTGCCCTTGTTTTGTACAGGACCCAGCTGTTTTTGTTACATTCTTTTATCCCAAATATTAAGGCATCTGACATTCTCAACCAAAATTTCAATTATATACTGTGGGGTTTTTTTTTCTTTGTTGCAATACATTAAAATTTCAGAGGTACTTTGGGGTTCTAAAGCTAGAATTTCTAAGTCAGTATGTGCATTTCACATAATAAAGCTGTTAATGGTGAGCAAAGTATTATAATACTAACTAGATTTTTCCACATCTGTATAGTATATTATATGTATTTTGTGGTATTGAGATTATAGAAAGTTTAGAGTGTCAAACATGCGTTTAATGTGTATTTTTAAACAAATTTATGGCAATTAAAATATTTGGAGACAAGGGTATCACATTTCAATTTGTAAAGATCTTTTTAACTCTACTGTGTCATTAAGATGCTTTGTATAATGCCAAACCATAGCTGGAGAGACTAAGTTTAATAAATATCAAATAGATTTTCTGTATTAAAGTTTGTGTACACTGTGCTCTTTCTCAGCTCTCACTCCGTTTCTGTGCGGTTCCAGTGCTGTATTTCAGCATCCAGTACCTGTGTTCCACAGGAGACCCTGCCAGCTTGGGTCTCACATACCGTGGCCACAGCAATTCTGAACCTGCCAACTGTGCGTCCTCGGGGTATGGATCAAAATTCACCCTGCCCAGGAGAAACCTCAGATATTCTTTGGTGTTCCTAGTTGCCTGGGCCTTTATGAATTCATGAAACTAGATTTTTCTCCCAGTTCTGTCTTAGGTTCATGCAGTCATAGACAAAGTTGGGCCCAACCTGTCTGACATGTCTCTGACAGTTCCTGCAGGAAGGTGAAGGGGCCGGGAGCCAGAGCCACAGGCTGGGGCCTTGCCCAGTGTGATGACACAGCTGCGGCCTGGCTTTGCCCTTAAGCTGCCGTTGTGTTCTCCGTGTGATTCTCGGGGCAGGTTTTTGGGACAGTCATCTCACCACACTCTGCCCCTTTTGTTATCGGACAATGCTGGATTTTTGCTATCATGTACACATTGAATCCTTCAGGAGCTAGGATTTCAGACTTCCAGTTTCAATGAGACATTTAATAATATTTGTAGAAAAATAAACTCTAAAGTGCAAAGCTTATTTAACACTCATCCACACAACAACATTGTAAAAAGAGATGGAGACCAATTTAAAACATCTGTCTTTGAATATTAAAACACCCAGGTTGCTTCACCTGGGGATCTCCCGCCAGAGCATCATTAACCAACATCCCATAGGATGGAGTCTTGTCGGAGGGGACGGCTGGCCTGTTCCCTAGAGTATCCATCATTCCTGGGCCACACTTAGGGAGCAACGTCTTTTTCTAGGGGAAGAGAAAACATTTTTTTTAAGACATGGAGTCTGGAGTGCCCAGAGCACTTCTGCTGGGCTTCATTCCTCTCTGCTCAGTGGATGCAATTGAAGGGGACAGGAGATGGGAACCTCCCACTCTCTGACCGCGCTCCCTTCCCAGCCCTGGTGGAAGCCTCCGTCCTCCCAGTCACTCCTTCCCAGTGCGCCTCACCTGCACAGCCTGGTGATGCATTCGGCACTGTCCCGACACGAGGCTCCAATGGGCCTCAGGGAGACCCCTCTCCAAAACGGGGTCATCCTCCGCAGCCGCCTCTTTGCCAAGCTCAGCTCTGGTACTGGGGAGCCCCCAATCTGTAGAGCAGAAGCAAATTCACCACCTGAGGGGAGGAGCAGGCCATTGCCGAGCTCCTGGGCACTGAAGCAGGGTGCCACTGATCAGCTGCGCTTGAGTTCCACCCCCACTGCCTGCTCCAGCTGGCCCCTGCCTTACCTGGCCCACAAGCAGCAGGCAGATCATGAGCACCGCCAACAGCTTGAGGTGCCACATCTTGCTGAAGGCAGGGTGTGGGCGCCTGAGGACCACGGAGAGTTCCCACTTCCTTTTATAGACTGGTGTCTGCCCTGGCGTGGTTGCCAGGTGAGATGGGGCAAAGTTTCTATTTGTAATCAGGATCAGTTTAATAAGTTAATGTCTACCAGAGGACTGTGCTCAGGGGTTGCCTTTCAGGCACGTTGTATTGACTGATCTGTCATCTGGACTTTGAGTGGTTGTGTTGCACATCTGGACTTTTTCATCTGTTTTACCCAAAGTCAGCACTGACTGCTGTTCCCTCCCTCTGAAAGCCACCTGAAACCACCGAGGGAGCCTAGGAACTTGGCCAGATTTCTGTACCGAAATAGCTCAGTGAGATCACGCCCATCAATACAGAACTCTAACAATGAAGTCTTCAAAGATACCATTGACCTCTTTGGGCCTTGTCCGGGAAGGGAGCACTGGTTATGGTGTGAAGCGGTCAGCTGGGTAGCACCAGCCCACAGGATTTATGGTGCCCTGGCCCCTCTGCTGTATCTGTGAGCTACCAACCCAGCGACCTGTGCCAGTTCAATATCCTTGTGGACCGAAGACCCAGCTGTGGGAAACTGAAAAGTTAGGCCAACCTGCCCTCTTGCAGGCTGCTGGGTGTTTTGTTAAAACATATGGCTGGGGAGGGGAGCTGGAGCCCCTAGCCTCAGAGAGCGGCTGAACTTGTGCAATGGCAAATAGCACTGAGAGCTTTGAGTGAACAGGCTTTCTTCTAGGACCACCTTTAGGCTTTGGTGGAGCTCCCCTTCCTGGCAGCTGCAGGGCAGCAGGCACAGTAAGGCTGAGCTATCTGCAACCAAGCCAACCAAGCCAAGAGCTTCCCATGGCCCGGAATGATAGGCCAAAAAAGACCCGTAGCAAGGCAGCTCATGTGGCATCCCACTGAAGACTTGGCCAAGGAGACACAGGACATGTGGAAGTACAGCAGGATGGGCACCAGTCTTGGCAGCCAGGCCAGCAGCAGGTGCTTCTTGCGATGGGAGGGGATAGTGGGACCAGAGCTGGGATTGGGCAGAATGTGACTCCACAGATCTGTCTTGCTTCCAGTTCTCAGGACCATGCAGCCACTGCCTACACCTTGGGGGAACCTAGCAAGTCCAGCTGACCGTTCTACACGTGGAACACAAGTGGGTTGCTCCCTTCACCCTGAACTTGGCCACTAAATAGATTGAGATATAAGGCCCGTGAAGGAGCTTATGGGGTTGGAAAGAAGCTGTGATGACCTAGTGAACATTGGGTAAAGAACACAAAGCCGATTAGATAAGCAAAAGACCGGCAACGTGCTGTCCCTGCAGCCAGCTGGGTTGGAGGACTCGGTGCCAGCCTTCCCTCAATCAGCCCCGCAACCTACGTGACATGCCAAATGGCATCTGGAGATAGGATTTCTGCTAGCCCTCCGTTTCTGCCTTTGTACTCCAAGCACAACCCAAGAAGCCTGTAGGTTTATCTGTAATGGCTGTGCCCCATTCCAGAGTGGGCAGCCCTGGACTCCCTCCCCAGAGAGCAACAAGGCCACGAAACATTTATGGCTGGAAACTCTGCCTTGCTGGCCACCCTCTTCCACAAGACGCGACTTCCTGGTGATTGTGGACGTATCCATGTATGTGAACTCTCATTTTGTTTATATCAAATGCAGAGGCAAAGCAGCAGCAACTGTCCACAGCTTTCCCATTCGCCTCCAGATTGAGGGAAAGCCTATTTCTGAAGCTAAAGTACTGGAGCTTTTAAATGCATGGGCTCTTGGCCGAGTGACTGGATTAACAGCGTGCCCCTTCTTCCTGTGCCAGGGCTTAAACACTCCTCTACAATATGAGTTGCGGGGAAGGCATGCGCGACTATAGGACCCTGGAGTCTGCATGGGGGCTGAGCGAGGCCAGCCCTGCCCACTTAGGGTTTAGTCTGTGGCTCAGTCAGTGAGACAGGAGCAGACTCTGTGCCTCTCTGGGACTGACATTTGCATGCTGGAATGATCCGTGACAGGAAGAGAATAAGAGTTTGGCCACTCTGGACTCAGCTCATAGAGACTTGGTGGCCTGGGATGTAAGGCGAGAACCAGGCCAAGGTCACCTGAGCCACAGTGTGAAACACATTCCAGGCAGAGGGCAGATCATTAGGGCCTGGTGGTAACCAGAAACTTCTGTTGTTCCTGAACAGGAGGAGTTTAATAAAAGATGAAAGACTGAAATGGGAAAACTTTTCCAGGTAAAATTTCAGTGCTGGGGCAAAGTATTTGCTCCCCTCTCCTCCCCCACACCCCCTCCCCTAGACTTGTGGGCCTGCTTCAGGTAGCTCAGTGGCTTGGGGACTTGTGCTGGCCCATGACACAGAGCCTTAGGTATCGCAGAGCCCTACATGCAGAGCCATGTGGCCAAAGGCCGAACAGGAGCTGGTGGCCCCAGCCCAGCAGCAGGAGAGGGAGTCCACTCGGGGCTGGGGGCTCCAGGCCCAGGGGTCATCGAGAGTCCCTGATAAATGACACATCCCCTATTAGCATCAGAAACACCAAGCTACAGCAGCTCCCCACCTTCTGCACCCCCAGCGGCCTCAGGCCCCGGGCTAGGCCCCAGCTTAGGGAAGCCCCTGAGCGAGACAGGTTAGGGCAGCCTTGAACACTTGAGCTAAGCAGCATTAGGGATACAGAGGATTCAGTCTAGCAAGTACAGTGCCTGGTCGCAGCTGAAGAGCAAGGGTAAGGATGATTCTCCTGAGCTGGTGTCTCCAAAGATGTCAGAGTCAATCCTTCCTGAACGGCCAGAGACTCAACGAGGCCAGGAGGAGGACGCGAGGCTGGCCAGCTGCAGGGGGAGCTCAGGGCTGCCTGCCAGGGCAGGACCACCAGCAAGCGAGGTTGCCCAATCTGCAGGGTGAGGAGGGTAACTGCACCACTTGTTCAGTTCTGCAGCTCTCATCAGTTCTCAAACATGTTGCAATACTTGTGAATAAATCTGAACAACGAGCCGAGAAAGGATTGGCACATGTCTGGGAGGGGGAGGCGGCAAGGTTTCCTGACAACTGCTCCTGTGAAGCCTGTGCCACCTTGTCAGACCGCTGTCATTCATTTGATCATTGCCACCTCCCAAGGCCTTTATGTGAGCCAGCTGTCAATGAGACATTCCCGCAGCTGTGGACTGCAGACTGCTTGCTGGTCCACTGTGTGGAAGTGGCTGGGCGTTTTTGTTTGTTTAAGACTGACTGACTTGAAAGGCAGAATTGGGGCCAGTGCAGTGGCTCATCTGGCTAATCCTTCACTTCCAAGCACTGGCATCCCATATGGGCACCAGTTAGTCTCCCTGCTTGTGGCCTGAGAAAGAAGTGAAGGCTCAAAGCCTTGGGACCTTGCACCTGAGTGGGAGACCAGGAAGAGGCTCCTGGCTCCTGCTCCTGTTTGGCTCAGCTCTAGCTATCGCAGCCATTTAGTGGATGTATCTTGTTTCTCTCTGTACATCTGCCTTTGCAATGAAAATAAATCCTTGAAAAGAGGCAGAGTTACAGGGAATGAGAGAGAAATGGAGATGCTCCACCTTGTGGTTCATTCCCCAAATGGCCACCACAGCCACATCTGGCCCAA